TAGCTGTTGTATTTAACAGAAGGCATTCAGAGAGAGGAACAAAACATTTAGTTTGCAAATTCAAGACCTGTATTTGTAGGAAACAATTGGCACATAAAACACTTTCCCTGGGTAGATCACTTTCATAGTACAGACTTTAAAAAAAAAACAACAAAAAACTTGGCCCTTCAAAATGTACAAATAGCAAGTCAACAAAAACTATTATTTTACATTCTGAAATTGTACAATGTTGTGGAGCTGCCTTTTTCCAATTAGTCTCTATAACTTGGATTAAAATAAGGAATGGCCCCTTGAGAAATGGCACCACAATAGAGAGAAACATGGGACAACAGAACATGCATTATCTACCGTGCTGTTATTCCCAGTGCATTGTTAGATAGACTTGCTGGGTTTGGCCTACCTTGACCAGAGTGGATAAAAATTGATTAAATAAAAATCTTGTTTAAAAAATATATATACATGTGTATATATAAAATTAATCTGCTTAAAATTAAATTTGAAATAACGTAAATAGACGAGATGCTGCATCAGCAATTACTCAAATTTTAATGAGTTAAAGAGTGCTGCTGCTTTTTTTTAATTACATACGGAATCAGAGTGAAACATCTCAAACTTTTGAGGTTAACTCAAGCTTTATAAATATGTCACAATGTGATGCACTGCATTAAGTATACTATTTTCAATCTTTACAATGCGGCAAATGCTGGTATTTACATTTTTCCAAATATAAGTACTGTACTTCCAGTTTTTGTTGTGCAGTAGGGGTTTGCCTTAACCTCGCAACCCCCTCAGGGAACCCTTGAATTATTACATGGGGGGGTCATGAGCTGTCAGCCTCCACCCCAAGCCCCGCTTTGCTTCCAGCATTTATAGTGGTGTTAAATGTATAAAAAAGTGTTTTTAATTTATGGTGGGGGGGGGAGGCGCACTTAGAGGCTTGCTGTGTGAAAGGGGTCACCAGTACAAAGGTTTGAGAACCACTTCCTTAATTGCTTTTGATTTCAGCTTAGTGAGCATATCAGAGAGAGTATTTTCTTCATTTGAACTAATTCATTCAAAGTTGACAAACCGTTCGGGAGTTAAAATAGCAGGCAAGGTTTTCTTCCAGTCTATAAACTATAAGAGGATGAGAGCTAATTCTAAAAACTTAGAGGACATGGGACCAAATTTTCAAAGGTATTTAGGCACTTAAGGTTGCAAAAAGATGCCTGGTGAGATTTTCAATTATCTGAATCTTGAGGTGCTGTTGAAAAATTCGACCGATAGTGATCTGAAGCAATATGGCAATTCATTAACTACATGTAGTAGTTCCTATGTTTAATAAATAAGTTTTAAATACAAAAATGTTTTGATAAACTTATTTGTTTCTTATGTATGCAGCCCTTTAAGGTAGCTTTGTTTGTTCTAGTTAAATAATCTTAATGCTTTTTTGGCTTTTTAATTGGATTCCAGTTTCCATTCAGAAGCAGTTTGACACAGGAGTAAAAAGTATCTAGTAAATAAATGTCATTCACCATTTTCTAACATAAGTAAAAAATGAAGAAGCTGAACAAATATATATTTAGCTATATAATTGCTGAAATAAATGTGCATAGATAAAGTGTATTGTCCTGGTAAGCAAAAAGTACCAAATTTAGGGTAAAGTCTATATTTAGTATCAAATTAACATATTTTAGTTGTTATACCAGTCAGCTATACGGAATCTTACTTTAGGAAAATAACTAAAGAATACAAATGCAAAACCAGTATAGATCAATTATTTAAATAAAGGTTTCCAGCTTGGTAATTTAAAACAGTGATTTAAATAATTTTGATTTAAATCAATCCTCCCTGACCATGATTTTTAGACAAGTGTATACTAGTGCCTTATTGCATACTAGTGATGACCAGTGTCTTTGCCACTCAAACGTATGGTTTTACGGTAAATATGAGTGAGGGTGAGTGAGTGAGTGTGTGATGTGCTGGGAGATTTTGTGTTGATTTGTGCTTGTGGCAAATGAGGCGCGTCTTTCGCTATCTGCATTTGGGGTTCTTGTGTGTGCTGGTTGTGTGATTGGTTTTGAAGAACTATGGCAGTTGAGCCAAGTAATCCACCATTTGTGCATTCCCCCTTACACAATCAATGAAACTGTTGCATGTATATTAGCTGTGGAGTTACTTCTCAAAGGTTCTCAACCTTCTTTTACCCAGGGGCCCCCTAAACTTAAATAGTCAAACCTGCGGACCTCCAACCAGAGGTGATGCATGGGGTGGGGTCACGTGAGGTCACATGCTCCCCCCGATTTTTGCCTTCTATTGGGCTCTGCTCCCTGAAGTGCTGATGTAGCAGGGCAGAGCAGTGGTATGTCTCCTTGGCTAGCTGCTGTCTGCTTGTGGAGTCAGTGGCTGAGAGGTAACTTCTTCTGAAGGCAGGGGGAGATCTCTCTTCTGCAGTGACACTGCAAGTTTTGGTAGTGCTCCCTCCCTCACCTACCCCAGACAGGCTGGGTGGCCCACTGAAGTGAGTCAAGGGATGGAGGAGGTGCGGCACTCAGGGCTGAAGCCCGGTTTATTTTGGCAGAACCCTCGAAACTGGCTCGAGGACTCCCAGGGAGCTACGGACCCCCGGTTGAGAACCAGTGGTCTAGGACTCTTGGCATGGCTTAGTTACATGCCTTAGGGCTAGTCTACATTGGCAATGCTAAAGAGCTGCCGCGGCAACGCTTTAACGTGCCTTGTGTGATTGTGATGCAGGGCTGGGAGAGAGCTCTCCCAGGGCTCTAAAAAAACCACCTCCATGAGGGGCGTAGCTCCCAGCGCTGATGCACTGTCTACACTGGCGCTTTACAGCACTGAAACTTGCTGCCCTCAGGGGGATGTTTTTTCACCCCCCTGAGCGAGAAAGTTGCAGTGCTGTAAATTGCTAGTGTAGACAAGCCCTTACTGTAGCAGTATACTGCACAGGTGTAGTTCATAAGTTCTCTGCCATTTTGACTTTAAAAATTGGATGCTAAAAGGATGCATATTATAGTGATGATTGAATCTGGTGATATTCTGAACAAAATGAGCACTCAGCCATGCTTGTAGCTGTTTTTGTCACTTCACGTTGACTCTACAGACCTGCTAGGCCTTAGAGCAAGGGTAGTGAATTAATTTTTTGTCTAGGTCCACATTTCTTGGTAAAGGTGTAGTCAAGGTCCAGACTCCAGAGAAGAAAATACAAAAAATTAACAATTATGATAGTAAGTAAATAAAAAGATTTTGGGATCACTTCCAAAGCATCTGGCAGTCTGGATTTGGCTTGCAGTCTGCCTACTGACTACCCCTACCTTAGAGTGACACATAGGTCAGCAATCCTGGAATCTTCTTATATAGATAAGCGGTAGTTCTGCGTAAATAGATGATAAAGATTAACAGACTTTTATGGTGATATCAGTTTTTCTGTTAGGTTCATGATGAGCTAATGCAGGGCAGACATGTTTGTGTCACAGAAAAATTGCTTGATGAAAAGATCACTTGTGGAAGCTGGCAGAGCTATGATACACAGAGGGATGCTTGCTCTGTTTCTCTATGCTGTTGGGGGGAACCTAATATTTATATAATGCCAAACAAGCATTAATTCCCTTGTGGGGTAAGGGAATATTCTTTCCATTCAACAGATGAGAAAGCAGAGGCACAAAGAGATTGAAGCCAACACTTTCAAATATGGACCACTTACTTAGCTGTATGACTTTGAGGTATTGAGTACATGTTGACTTAATAGGAGATCTGGGTGCTCTATATTTCTGAAAATGAGACCACTTACTAGGATAATAAATTAGATATTTTGTTTTACTATTGTGAATGTACTGTACGCTTTGACCTGCTAAACATATTTGATTATAATGTTGCTTTTGAAACAAAATATAAACGTATTGATTCTGCAAAAATATAGTAAACTAATTTTACTGTTGTAAAATGTGATCTTGCTGATATTAAGGTATGCTCAAAATTTGATATCTCAGTAAGAAACATCCATATATATATAGATATATAATTTTAAAGAAAACTACCTCATGCACCAGATCTCCTCAGAGTGCTCTCTGTACCAGGTTTATTGTTGCTATTTATTGTTCATAAAAGATCAGTAGGACTACCAAGAAAAGTGTCAGCCGGTGTCCAAGTTCATTCTTCCCAGTAAAAACAAATTATGATGAGAAATCAAATAAAGATAGCACAGAAAATTCAAAGGATATAGAAACTAGCCCACTGTGCAATTTTGTACAGATTGGCCATCTATGTCTAGAGAAAAACAGGCATTTATGATCCATTCTAAGCCCATTTCTGAGTACAACCCTAACAATAGAGTCACTACCAGGAACCTCCATAATGTAATGTAATGTTATATCGGTGAGCTTCCGTGCTGGCTTTGCAGCAGAATTTGACTAGCGAATATTATTGATAGAGGTCTGCACGTTCTTCTTAGAAATCTGGTGCACACAATCATCTGGTGCACCAAATTAATTCTGGTGGCCTCTTTTAGGTTTTCATAACTATACATGGAGTAATGTCCATGCATAATTTGTATTTGCAGTCACTGCAGTTTTACTTGCAATTCTTTTTGCACCTGTAAGTGGCCAGTTAGACACCTTGCTGGTTCTCTGTTTGTTTACTACAAATGCATGTATAAGTATGAGTGTCTGGCCATTGTTGTTGTTTGTTATTTTTATTTGTAAATGATAGGACAAAACTTGTGCTTGAAATATTGGGAACTGTTTTCTTGAAAATATCCGTTTTTCGTCAGCTCCCTTTCGTAAAGGGAAATGGAAGAGAGTTTAAATATCCACTTTTGAACATTAGTAGTGCAGTATAAATTTAATGTTAAATATTTTATAGAAAATAATGTGACAGTTCTGTTATTGCTACATTAATCGTAGATTTTTCATGGTAACTTTTTATTTTTGTATGGGGAAAATACAGGCTTCATACTTCTGCTGTTTCTAAGTTAGTGTCTTAACTTATACTTTTTCTTAATTTTTCAGATATTGTGGATGGAACTGACCTGAAGCAATTTTTTGAGATCAACTATTCTCAAATTTATTTTATCTTCTATGAAAATTTCGTAACACTGGAAAATAGCTTGAAACAAAAAGGTAATCTGTCCTGTCCTACAGTTTTGCCGTGATTTTTTCATAAACCTCACGTGTTCTTAACCAGTTTTAAAAGCATTCCAATAAACACACACTCTAATTGGTACGTCTTCCATACCTTGCTGAATTCATAATGCTTTCATAGTTCCATACATTATAATATTTTATGTACCCTTAGCATCAATACTGTTACATTTTAAGTTTTCAGGTACTTAAGCTTCATTTTGTAAACTCAAGCCAGAAAAAGTAACTTGTTAAAGCAATTTATGAGCATTCCCTTCAACTTCTGATTTTTTTTCTAAGAATTTGGATTTATAAATCTTAAACAAAGGAAAGCTGCTTAGAACGATCAATAGAAGCTGTTATAGGTACATGCAAAAATCATTACCTAGAACAGGGGTGGGCAAACTTTTTGGCCCGAGGGCCACATCTGGGTGGAGAAATTGCATGCAGGGCCATGAATGTAGGGCTGGGGCAGGGGGTTGGGGTGCGGGAGGGAGTGCGGGGTGTTGGAGGGGGTGCGGTGTGCAGAAAGGGGCTCAGGGCAAGGGGTTGGGGCGCAGGAGGGGTGCAGGGTGTATGAGGGGGCTCAGGGCAGGGGGTTGGGGTGTGGGAGGGGGCTGAGGGCAAGGGGTTGGGGGCTCAAGGCAAGGGGTGCGAGTATGGCGGGGGCTCAGGGCAGGGGGTTGGGGTGCAGGAGGAGTGCGGGGTACGGCGGGGGGGGGGGGGGCGGGGGGGGGGCGGCGGGGGGCTCGGGGCGGGGGGTTGGGGTGCAGAGTGCAGGAGGGGTTTGGAGTGCGGGCTTTGGCCTGGCGCAGCTTACCTTGAGTGGCTCCGGGGTGGCAGTGGCGCGCAGCTGGGCTAAGGCAGGCTCCCTGCCCGCCCTGGCCCCGCGACGCTCCCGGAAGCGGATGGCACCACGACCCTGCGGCCTCTGGGGGTGGGCAGAGGACTCTGCGTGCTGCCCTTCCCTGAGGGTACCTCCCCCCACAGCTCCCATTGGCCTGGAACGGAGAACCGTGGCCAATGGGAGCTTTGAGGGAGGCACCCACAGGCGAGGGCAGCGTGCAGAGCCTCTGTGCCCCTCCTCCCCCAGAGGCCACAGGGACGTGGTGCCGACCGCTTCCGGGAGCGGTGCGGGGCAAGGGCAGGCAGGGAATCTGCCTTAGCCCTGTGGCACCATGGGGGTGGCAATCCCACGGGCCGGATCCAAAGCCCTGCCGGGCCGGAGCTGGCCTGCAGGCCGTAGTTTGCCCACCCCTGACCTAGAACAAAGCATTTCAAAAACAGTTGTAGATATGGGGATATTGCTGGCTTAACTACTACTAATTTAAAATCCATTGACAATTATGTGTTTGACTTTCCACTTAGCAATGAACAATTTTACCCATATCTACAAATCCGAGGTTTTTATGAAACTGCACTGAAACTATGAATTAAAGGTGGAAAATAAGACCTGTAAAGAATGAAGAAAGATATTTGCAATATGCCGTAATATTATTTCTAAAATATGCTTCATATGACACCAAGCTCAGAGTGGTATGACAGATTGCTGACAGGGAGTTTTCAGAACCCCCATAACTTCTCAGCTCAGATCCATAAAGAGACTTAAGTGTTGCAATTCCTAACTTTTAGATGCCTAGAAAATCACTGAACAAAAATAGGATCCACAAAGCCTGAATTGGGCACCTAAGCTCCCTGTACAACGAATAGGAGGAGATAGGAACCTCAGAATGGCATCCAAAAAAGCCAGCCTGCTAGGTGGGGAACTGCCTAAGCTACCTAATGGGTGATGCCAACGAGGAAGGTGTCATAAGCCCCTCCAACAGAGTTCGGTGCCGAAGTCCAGGCTGCAGGGAGATTCCTATCTCTGCTTGAGATCCACAGCCATGAACACTCTCCTGGAGTAAGATGGCTTCAGCACCTAATTCCATGGAAAATGACTGGGGATTGGGGTGGAGGAGGAGGAGCCAGAGGCAGCAAGGGCGTCCCTTATAACCTTTAACCCAGAGTTTTAAGGTACTTACCTGGGATGTAGGAGACCTTGGTTCAATTTCTCCCTCTAGTGAGGAGAAGGGATTTGAACAGGAGTTCTCCAGCTCTCACATGATATTTGTCTGCTTCCTAACAGGGAATATGAATCCTTGCCCAACAGGGGTGTGAAATTAACAGAATTATTAACACTAGTTGGTAGAAGCAGTGAGACTAGGCTTTATGGTCTCCTGGCTCCCATCACACCTTTCTATAGGCCAAAGGATATTTTGAGGGATGAGATTGTTTTTGCTTGGCTTGCTTGGAGCACTAGCTCTGTGTGTGTATTGTATGCATACTGTGCAGGAAGTTCAGCAGGACCCTGAACACTTGAAGTGCAGTTGGAACATTCAGAAAATTGATGGGCATTTTTTCAAATTCTATGGTGCATGTAGAAATGGCAATTTGCTATTGTTTATAACATAGGTGTAGTTTGCACACAGAGTTGCACCACGTCAACTAAAGGTGAGATTTTTAAAGCAATTTAGTTAAATCCGTGAAAAATCCTGTGTGGACACTCACAAATCAGTTTTAAGTTGACTTAAATCTGTTTAGTTTGCGTTGGTAAATGTACAACCCCCACTAATCCAATATAACTGGTTTTAAACTGATAAGTGTGTTCACGTAGGTTTTGAATTTGC